TAATCAACTACATTGTATATTGACAAAATAAAAAACAAAACAAAACAAAACAAAACAAACAAACAAACAAAAATAAATGTTTGATAGAATTCACCAATGGAAAAAAAAATAATACAATAAAACATGAAAAAGAAATACATAAACTGGAAAAAAAGAAATAAAACTATTTTTATTCACAGATGACACCAATATCTGTTTAGAAAACTCCAAGTGATCTACAAAAAATAAAATTAAACAAAACCTCCTTGAATGATTAAGCAAGTATAGCAAAGACACAGCATACAATGTCAATATACAAAAATCATCTGCTTTCCTATATACCATTAGAATTTGAAATAAAATACAATACTATTTACAATAGTAGTAAAAAATGAAGTACTTAAGTATAAATCTAACAAAATACGTAAGAGATTTATGTGCAGAAAACTACAAAACACTGATGAAAGTAGTCAAAGACTATAAGAATAACTAAGTAAATGTTTTCATGGATTGAAAAATTCAACACTGTAAAGATGTCAATTCTTCCCAAGTTTATCTATCTATTCAATGCAGTCCTAAGCAAAATCCCAGCAAGCTATTTTGTAGATATTAATAAGATGATTCTAAAGTGTATATAAACAGGTAAATGACCTAGAATAACCAACACAATACTGAAAATGAAGAACAAAGTTGAAGGACTCACACTACTCAATATCAAAACTTATTATAGAGCTACAGCAATCAGTACAACATGTAATTAGCAGATCAATAGACAGATAGAGTAATGGAACAAAGTAAAGAACCCAGAAACGGGTCCACACAAATATAGTCAACTGACATTTGACAAAAGTAATTCAATGAAGAAAGGGTAGTCTTTTCCACAAATGAGGCTGGAGCAAGTGGATGTCCATATGATGAGACATTTCAGATGGGAAATAAACACATGAAAAGATGTTTGATCTCATCAGGGAAATACAAAGTAAAGCACAGGGAAATACAAATTGAAGCATCAGGGAAATACAGACTAAAACCACAATGAGATATCACTACACAACTATAAGAGTGAGTAAAATAAAATTTAAGGAAAAAAAAATAGTGACCACACCAAATGCTGGGAAGCCTGCCAAGCAACTGGATCACTCATACACTATTTGTGGGATTATAAAGTCGTATAGCCACTTGGGGAAACAGTTTGTCATTTTCTCATATAACTAAACTTGCAGATACTTAGGACCCAGCAATTGCGATGCTGGGCATTAACACCAAAGAAACAAAAACATAAATCCACTTGAAATCCATATATTAATGTTCATAGCGGCCTTATTTGTAATAGCCCAAAACTGGAAAAAACAAAAATGTCCTTCAACTGGTGAACAGTTAAACAAACTGTGGTACATCTATACTATGAAATACTACTTAGCAATAAAAACATATGAAGTATTGTTATACACACAGCCTGGATAAATATGAAGGAAATCATGCCAAGTGAGACAGCAACTTCCAAAAAGTCACATATGTATGATTCAATCTATATAACGTTATTGAAATGACAAAATTATAGAAATAGAGAACAGATTCTTTACCAGAAGCTAGGAAGGGGGAGTGGTGGGGGATGACAGTCAAGTTTGTCTATTTTTCTGTAAAAGGGTAACAGGTGGGATTCTCATGGTGATGGAACTATATTGATCTATTAATTTCAGTGTCTTAGTTATGATATTGTACTGTAGTTTTGCAAGATATTACCAGTGGGTAAACTAGGTAGAAGGTACACAGGACCTCTCTTCATTGCTCCTTAAAACTGCAGGTGAATCTACAATTATTTTGACATAAAATTTTAATTAAAAATTTTAAATAAAACTTCAGGAGATGGTGGTGTCATTGAGACCAAAGAGAGTAAATAGTAGCACCAAACTTATTGAATGTCACAATTGATTATTGGTAGTGACCTTTGCCACCATTATTTTATTGGAGTTGTGAAAACAGAAGCTTGATTGGTATGGACTGAAGAATAAATGGGAAGTAAGAAAGAAGATACAGAATAGACTCTCCTTTAAACGAGCTTAGCAAAGAAAGAGATGGCAATTGGTACAGGATAATGAAGGATCAAGGAATGGTCTCTAAAAATGGGAGGCACTTGATTATGTGAATAACTTGAGGTAAGAAAAGTAGCAGGGAGAAAGGGATTGAACATTCAGGCAAGAGAACTGTCAATAGTACAAACAAGGTTTTAGGGGAGATGGGAAGGGGGAAATAAATAGAGGAGAGACAGAGCAAAAGTAGAGGAACTAGAATAGGAACTTCCAAGACTGAAGGAACTTCTAAGACTGAAGGCGTGCTATGCAATATGAAGTGAAAGCTAGTGAAGCCAAAGAGACACTTGTCAGTATAGGGCAAGTAGTTGAAGTGGGCATCAATTTCCCTTAGAAAGTAAGAATCTAAGCCATTGTATGGGGTGGGGTGCCGGTAAAGTAGAAGAAGCTGTCACTTGAGGGGAGTGATGAAGAAACTAGGGATACAAATGAGAAGAGAAAGGAATAAAAGGATGGCCTGGGGCATGTAAAAGGGCTGCTGAGTGGCCTGAGGACCCAGCTGAGGTTGGAAATTCTAACTGTTCTGGGGTGCTGCTCCTTTCTCCCACAGTGGTCATTATGGGATCAGAATAATCAGATGTTTGGAAGGACCCAAAGCTGAAGCTAAATAGTGCAAACGTGGTATTTGGAGAGCAAAGAGATGAAGATGCAGTCAGTGCTAAATAAATGTACCCCAAGATCATGGCTGGATAAGGAAAGAAGTGAAGAGAAAAGGAAAGGCTTGAGGAACTGGATGCTTCAGTGAGGCCAAAGAGCACATAATGTGGGACCCAACTATTGCTAGGAAATTTTGATGTCAGTGGGATATTAGAGTTTAGTCTATTAGAGGTAAAGCCATGCCCAGTGATGCCAAGTGACTGGGGTTGGTTGAGATGCTAAGAAGTTAAAGGTCAGAGAGGTGTGAGGTCAGGGTGTTTGGGATGGGTCTTCTATGTGGATATTGGTGAGGTCACCCAGGATGAGGAAAGGACTTGGAGTGTCAAGAAAGCTTGTGAACTGGTCCTTGGAGTACAGGGAATAGTGAGGATAATGCCCACATCTACACACACTCACTCTCAGCTCCAGTCCCTTGGTTAGTAGTCAGCACTGGGAAGGAATATAAGATCAGAAGAAAACCTGGTTTCAGGAAAGGCCAGAAGGTGAAAGGAATGTTTTGAAACAATCTACTTTCCTGTTTGTTATCTGGTTTCTTTTTTGGTGTTTAAGCTGAGTGGGAAAAATGCAGGTAAACTCTCTGTGGTACACATTTTGCTATTTTGATTTCACAAAGTATTAAATTACAGTCTGAATCTCACCCCCAGACCTCTGACCTCAGGTAAGTCCTTTCCCAGTCTGAGCCCTGGTATGACCATTCATATAACAAAAGGGATGGGATGGTTGAGCTTTACCTTATTCTCTGTCTCTAATATCTGTAGGCCCCACATAAAACTACTAGGGTCTGCCTGAAATATCATAGTTGTTGTTTAACAGCTTGTCCTATCTGGAGAGGAAGGACTTATAAGGAAGAAACCAGAAGTTTGCTTGTTTAAAGTGCAAACCCCAATCCAAAAAAATTACTGTAGACATCACAATGCATCTGTGTGTCAGAGGCAGAATCCCAGATGGGTGGGCCAGTATAATCTAGTATTTAAACAATCCAACTTCGGAGACTGGCTGTTTGTCCACTAACCAGCTATGTAATTTGGGCAGGTTATTTAACCTCTCTGTATCTCTCTTTCCTCAAAAATAAAATGAGGAGGACAGTAGCATATACCTCATAGGGTTATTGTAAATATTAAATTAAATGATGCATGTAATGCCTTTAACACAGTGCCAGACACTTTGGCAGAACTCAGTATGTGTTCACTATCATTATAATTATTATAATAAAAAATTATAATTACAGGAGGGGCCCAATGTTACATATCTGTTGTCTGTAAAGCTGTAAGCAAGAAAACATCTGAAACCAAAGTGTGTAAAAATAACACACAACATTCCACTTTCTGGGGCCCTGTGCCTAACATGGGAAGTTTCCAAGTATGTCATGAAGCCATAAGCTTTCAAGAAAGGTTGGAGGTCCCATCAATCAAACAGCAGCACGTGCTTTCTCTTTCCCTTGGAAGTTATATGTCTCCAGATGTTTCTACATTTTCATTTTTTCATCATTTCAGGGAGAATTTCTTAGTTGAGAACACTGAGTGATCTCCCCCTTTATCCCCATCCCTTCCTCCTTATAGGCCCTCCTCTTAAGCTTTATTTCCCCTACTTCTCCTTCATCCCTCCTTAGCCATTTATTCTGCTTTAATCCTTCCATCCTCTTTATTTCATTATAGCCCTCCGCCTTTATTCCGTGTTACTCCCCTATGCTCCACTTCACTCCCTCCCCTTTATCCCACAAGCTTTTATCTCACATCACCCCCCTCCCCTTTACCCTGCATCACCCCTCCCTTTTAGTGCAGGTCACTCCATCCCCTCTATTCCGCATCATCCCCTTCCTCTTATTTCCACATCACTCCTCCCCTTATCTCACATCACCCCCTCCCCTTTATCTTATTTCACTCCTACCCTTCTAACCCACACCACTCAATCTCCTTTATTCCACATCCCCGCTTCCCCTTAATGTACACTAGCCCATTCCCCTTATTCGACATCACCCTCTTCCCTTTATTCCATGTTATTTCCTCCCCTTTTATCCACCCCATCCCCCTTATTTCATGTCTCCCCCTACCCTTTATCCCACGTTATCCCCTCCTCTTTATTCCACATCACCCTTTTCCAATTATCCCATTCCTTTCCCTTCCCCTTTACCCCTCCCCTCTCCTTTATCCCATATCACCCCTCTATATTTTTCTTTCCCACCTTTTCCCCTTCAGCTCTTTAGTTAGAGCTTCCCAACTCACCCCCAAAATTTAAAAAAGAAAAAGAAAAAAAACACACAGTAAGCCATGAACATGCTGCTGTCACAACACAGATGTTTATTAATGATTAAACGCCAGAGAAGTTTTAACAATCACAAATCTTCGAGCTCTGCGGTTGTTACCCATTTTATGATCAATTTCTATCCCTCAATACAATACATTCTCCATTCTATGGACCTTAGCAGTTGTTACCCATCAATATCAGCTATAATTTTGGATGTCATACATAACCCATATCTGTGTGTTTGTCATCAGAGCATGTCCCGCAAATTTGTAAGTCCTGCATAGAGGAACTACAGAGATGATAGATAAGAGCATTTGTAATTAGGTGACTTAAACTACTTGGAACTATGTTTCCATACCTAACTAGCTGTTTTGCTGACAACAACGTGTGAATGCCAGCTGTCTTTAAAACAGATCCAGGTAATAAAATCTAATTTTTTTCTAACTTTTGGCCCCAGAAAAACTAGTTAAACTGAGGTTTCCCTGTTGGCGTGACCTGAGCAAAACTGCACAGAATTTTGGGAGCGGCTGTTTGACGAGCCATTGGTCTAAATAATTTGGTGGTGGGGTGGGGGTGGGGCAGGGGATCCAGAGGTGGTGGGATTGCTGCTGCGGGGACATGGCTATGAGTTGGTGTGACATGATTTAGCGTTAATTGTTTGTCAGCTGTCAGTAGGCTGACCTAACATTCTAGCATGCCTCTTGAGGGCCTTTCCAATTGAGCTCTTGGGAGGAGGGTAGGAAAGTCAGGAAAAACATGCAATTCCCTTTGGGGGAGGGAAAGCACCTCGAGATTTGTGAGCTTCTCTGGGGCAGGTGTTTACCACAAATGTCACATCGATTAAAGGAAGGGCTGTAGTGAGAGAAAGCCAGGATCAGGGGTAAAAGAGAAAGGCAAGGTAGCACCAGGGAGCCTGGGCTGACACAGAAACATCTCTGCTTTACCAGCTGAAGACACCAAGCATCCCCAGTGAAGGGGCTGGCAGTGTGTTTGGGATTCCCATCCTGACCCGAGCATCAGGTGGAACTCCTCCTCACCCTCAGATCTTTACCTTCAAAACTCTCCTTAATGTTTCCTGTGACATCTCAGGTCTACCCCCACCCTTTTCCCCTGTCCGGCACCTTAAAGAAGGAAAAACATCTAAGGAAAGAAGTAGCCGATGCCAGTTTTGGCCTCCTTCTCCCGGGGCACACGGAGCAATGGGCGGTCTTGCTCCGGAATTGGGGGGTTACCCGCTCCTTCCTCATCGTCATGGGAACGGGCAGTGCCGGGAGGCACAGCTGGCTCCTCAGAGGAACCTGGAAAATAGTAACAATGTTAACTCCTGACGTTTCTAGACTTCATACTTTGCACAGCACCCAAGGCACTAAGACCGAATTCTGAGTTGCAAATACAGTATGAGGCAAGAAGTTAGGGAAGAAATGATTATCCCTATTTAACATGTATGAAAATTGCAGCCTAACAACAGAACACAGATCTCTAAATCTAGGGCCATTGTGGAAGCTGGGGGGCAAGAGCTGGGTTCGGAAACAGAAAGAGTGAGACGGACACACTGTGCTCAGAGCAAATGGACAATACCATCAGGGAGACGGGGAAGAGGGCGACCTCCTAACAACCACCACCACCCTACAAGCAGCTTGACTAATTTTACTAAGCAAATGAGTAACAAAGCTGGAGCTGGAAGCTTACAGCACTGCATGGAGGGGAAAAAGCAGTTGTCACTCTTCAGTGACTCTGGGGAGGACTTGTAGTCCATAACTTGACCAGGCTGAGACTTGTTTTTAAGGAGAGTGGTATCTACAGGAAATGCAACACCTGCGTCTTCTTTATGGAACTGGATTGCCTTTGGATTGTGAACTTCTTTAGGATCGAGATGTTTAGGCACTGGGATTTCTTCCACATTCATGACTTCTTCAAGATTGACAGCCAGGTCTTGCAGAGGGTCTGGAATTGTATTGAGAATGGAGACATCTTCAGTCTCTGGAGCCACAGTGCTAACTTCATCTTCTTCAAAAGAATTGGCTTGGTCTTTCTGAGAATCTGGAATTTCATTGTAGATTTGGGCATCTTCAGGCTCTGGGGTCACACTGAGAACTGAGTCTTCTTCAAGACTGAGGTTTCCTTCAGAGTCTTGGTTACCACTGACATCAGAGAATTCTCCATGTTCTGGAATTTCTTCATCATCTGAGGCTTCTTCGTTGTTTGGGACTCCACTCACATCTGTGGGTTCTTCCTGGTGGTCTTGAATTTCATCAAAATCAGAGACATCTTCAGGGCCTGTGACTACATGGAGAGCTGGGACCTCTTCAGGGTTGGGATCTTCTTCAGAGCCCACAATTCCATTGACCTCTGGAGCTTCTTCATGATCTGGGATTTCTTCAGCATCTGAGGCTTCTTCATCATTTGGCACTCCATCAAAAGCTGGAATCTCTTCGAGATTGGGATCTTCTTCAGAGTCTGAGAGTCCATTAACCTCTGGGGATTCTTCATGATTGGGGATTTCATGTCCACCAGGGGCTTCTTCAGGGCTTGGGACCACATGAAGAGCTGGGACTTCTTCAAAATCAAGCTCTTCTTCAGAGTCTGAAATCCCATTGACCTCTGGGGCTTCTTCATGGTCTGGGATTTCTTCAGCATTTGAGGCTTCATCATTTGGGACTCCATCAACAGCTGGGACCTCTTCATGACTGGGGTCTTCTTCAGAATTTTGAGTTTCATCATTACCTGAGGCATCTGCATGGTCTGGAATTTCATTGGTGTCTGGGGCTTCCTCATTTTCTGGGATTGCATCAGTATCTGAGGCTTCTTCGTTGTTCAGCATTACATCAAGACAGGGAACTTCTGCAAGGTCAAGATTTTGGTGGTCTTCAAATTCTGGTCCTTCTTCAAGGTCATGACTCAGGTTTTCTTCAGGGTTCAGGACTTCTTGCACATCTAGGGCTCCTTCAGGGTCTGGGACCATATCAAAATATGGTATTTCTTCAAAGTCTTGGATCTCAATAAGCTCTGGAATTTCATCATCAGGTTCTAGAATATCTTCAAGGGGAGGAAGATCATCAAAATTCAGGGTATCATCATCTTCCTCATCATCGTCTTCATCATCATCTTCTTCATCAAGCTCTGGTATGCCTTCAAGATGTGGGCCTTGAATCTCAAGGTCATTTGGGATCTCAAGACCTTGAACTTCCCCAAAGTCTACTCCTTGATAGAGATATTCAAATACTAGCTGTTCATTGACTGACACATCTTCCTCAGAGGACTCATCTTCCTCAAGGGGCTCATCTTCAGCAAGGACCTGGCCTTCAGGAAGGGCCCGACCCTCAGCAAGGGACTGACCTTCAGCAAGGGCCTGACCTCCAGCAGGGAACTGACCTTCATCAAAGGGCTTGCTCTGAGCAAGGACAGCAGCCCGGGCTTCAGCAGAGGTTTCCACTGGATCAGAAAGTAAAGCATCCTCTTCCATCTTTATGCGTGCACTCCTAAATGGGAAAGAATTTGAAAAAGTAAGTCAGTTTGTAACATAAAGATGGTCTGGAGTTGGAAGCCCCCATAGGAGAATGTGCGTCAGGCTAAGCATAAACAAACCAAAAAACACTCACTGGATCTTCCTCAGATTCCTGCGTCTGATAAAATCAAGGGCTTCGGGACTGGATTTCCACACACGCTTAGCAACCTGCCTCTGAATATGGGGAGGCACCTGAGGGTAAAATCAGCAATGTTAGCTTTTATTACAAAGCACCTTTTCATTTATACTCATCTCTACCAGGTACCTAGAACTGAAGGCACCACCACCAGCTAATGTGACAGGAATTTCTAGATTAGGAGATTTTGTAGCTGCCTGCTTTGGCTACCCTCAAGGATGCACATACAATTCTCCCCTGCCTTGTGAACAGGAGAGGGATGTGTGAAATAAATGCATCCAAACCTTCTACCTACCTGGAAGAGAACATCCCAGTTATCAATCATGGCACGAACCACATTGACAGAAGCAACATAGTGGTCAATCCCCAGCTTGGTTTTCCTGGACTCTCTTTTGCCAAACTTTCCCTTCTTCAGGAGAGCAGACCCAAACACCAATGCCAAATTGGTGGAAGTCATACGGTTGCCTGGAACCTAGGCAATGGGAAGCAGAAAGTATTGACCCTGAGGTTGTAATTGGAAGTTGTACAAACAGATATCTCCTTTTATTCTTGTTTCTCTCTCCTTCCCCTCTCCATCCTCCCCTTCACTCATAAACCCCCATACATGTACCCTACTACAGTTTTCACTACCCTTTCCCAGGCCTTTTTACCAACTGCCCATCAATGCCAATGGAGTCCTCGCAGTTCTCAGTGATTTTATGCAGGGCCTTCAGCAGACGCTCTAGGGTGTCACTGTGGCAGGGTGGCAGTAGGTAGACCAGCAATTGCAGGGCAGAAAGCTGATCCTGGGGCTTCAGAGCTAGAGGAAGGAAAACGGGCTGGTTCAGGTGACTAGCCTTAGCAGCACCCTGACACCAAGAAAGATGAGATTCTGCTTGAAAATCACTGACAGCTATGGAGAAAGTACACAAGCAACTTGTTTCTTTGCTCATTTCTGAAACATTTAAGCTCAGAAGCTCTGAAAGTGAAAAGTGTTCCCATCAAAATCAGACCTTCTTTACAGAACCTGGTCATTCTTTGCCCTGAGAGCACACACATCTTCAAGAAGCTGTGGAGAAATTTCCAAGCAACAGACTTAAATGGAACATTCAGAGATACAAAGAAAGTAACTTGGAGAAGTTTTTATTAAAATTTTTATTTTTAATTGGCAAATAATAACTTTATATATTGTGGAGAGGTCTTCTTTCATCTTCTGATGTTCATTATGCCTTAGTTCCTTGGGATCCTGCAGCTTGGCTTCTGTCCCTAGAACCCCTAGACCCCTGTAATATTTCCTTTCCTTGCCCAACAAGGAAGGGCAGAAGACTCACTTGCTGTCAGGAGGAAGGACATGTACAGATCATCTGGCAGCAAAGAGTCCTTCATGTCACGGAAAAACTCCTTGAGGAGTGCAGCCACATCATGCACATTCTGATTGTCATCCAGCACTACATCCAGACCTTTATCAAATTCTTCACGGAGCTAGAAAAAGGGAAAGAAGACATGGACTGTCTGCCCTGCCCACAATAGGCTCCTTCTGGATCATTCTTTCAGTAAGTCCCAGGCTTCAGTGGTGGTAGCTGGAAATGTGGTGTGCCTGGGGGACTAGAAAGAAGACTTTGCTCCCCCCATCAGATATGATACCACCCTCAGATATGACACCACCCTCAGGTCTATGGAGGAGCCCCCACCTCCACCTGCTTTTACTCACCCAAGAAACAAACATGTAAACATAGCTGATTTACCTTACGCACTCTCTGTATAGAGTATTCAAGGGTGAAAATCCCCACTGTGCTTAAGCCTGAAAGAAAAGACAAGGAGAGGCTAAACATCTCTGATCCCCTTCCCCCTCCCCCCGTGGCATTTCCCTTCTCCTCCCTTGCTTCATCCCTACCTCCACTGGTGTCAGGGGAATGTAATCCAAGCCCTTCATTCCATGACCTCTTTTCTTTCCCATTTCTAGAACATCCCCACTTTTCCTTTAATTGCCTCCTTCCTTGATTTAACCATTTGCTGCTTCCTTACCATGTGTTTCAATGAATTTGCAGCAAGCCTCAACAACCTGGGGGATTTGTTTAGCAATCGGATTGAGGCTCATCTGCCTTTTGGATCCCAGAAGTCGCTGGCCAATTGGAAAGGATACTTTGGTCAGTTGCAGGGTCTGCAGCAGCAGGGCCCCGTCTTCCAGCTCAGCCAGGCTATCCACAGACACTGCACCCTGCGGAGAAACCCAGACTACATTAAAAGATGGTGGAAGGAGGGTCATTTAGGACCTTCCTGAACACTGCGTGATACTCAGAAGGAGACACATTCTCTCTGTGGCAAGTCAAGCACACCCCTCCAACATGTCCTGTTCAGCTACTCCCCCCCCCCGCTCCCCTCCCCCGCATGAAGACAAAGGCTTTGACCCTCACACCCCACATTCCTGCACACATCAGGAAGGGCTCCTGGCTGAAACTTGGAGGGTTTAACTCACTCGACGCCCACGGCGAGTGAACTCCCGGGGCAAGGAGGGCTCATTCCGCCTGCGACTGAAAAAGCGCCTGATGCGGCCAAACATCCTTCGCACCACGTTTCCCCGACGACGGCCCGCAGCCTGACTGGTGGCTTCCTCAATCTGCATCTCGGCTGTCAGTTCAAGCTGCTTGCGGCGGGTAAACTCATTCACCAGCACCTCTTCCAGGCGAACGCCAAAGGTCTTGAGTGATTCGGCTGGGGAGCCAAGGAGAGAAAGAAAGAGAAACGTCAAAGCACCGCAGTGCTTACATCAAGAGGAACTGCAGGGACTGTAGCACTCCTCCAAGCAACCGCCCGTAGTCAGCCCCACCCCTCCAGACCCGCAGCGCCCCTCCCTGGGAGCGAGCCCAAAAGACCCTACAGTGGTTTTAAGAAAGGACTCAGCTCCACTCTACCTCGACGGGGCCCAAGGTCCCTGCCTTAAGTCCTACCAGGGGGTGACCACCTCGAAGCAATAAGGGCTATTTCTTCAGGTTGATCTGTTGGGTGGGTCCACCGGGAAGGCTTAGGCAGGTCTGAGAGGACCGCCCCACGCGCCTGCAGCTATTGCGCCATTTCCGGATATCACCCCCTATGGAGTTTCTGGGAGAGGTGGGGGGTGTCTGGGGGGGGGGCACCGCCCAGTCTCCAGTAGCCAGAGGCACACCCCAGAGGGGTGCAGCATTGTATTCTTTTCCTAAAGCAAACACAAGAGCCCCTCACCCCTCTCTTGTCCTCTCAGATTCAGAAACCACTCCTCCAAGGTGTCGGGATGGTCAGTAGGTAGAGCTACGGTAAGAGAAAAAGAAAAGATAGGCACAATCACACACAAATAGGACTTGGTTAGTGACAAAAATATCGCGATGCATTGATCTGCAGCAGGGGGAGGGGTGTTGGGGGCGGAGAACTCCGTCCAGCGCGCCAAAAGTGCTTGGCTTTCTCTCAGCCTCAGTTTCCCCCCTGACAACAGGACCCATCCTCTCTAACCCACACGAGACTCCAAGAATTTAACCAAACCAGACGATCTAAAACGCTACGCGCTCACTGCGCATCTTGCTACGCACCGGTAGTCGCTCAACACAACACTTAAAACGTAAATCCAGGGGCTCCGAGGCGCCTGGATCCTGCAACAGGCGAGGGGAGGGGCTGTTCCCACAGCGCCACCGCGGGCGGGGGTCGCCGAGTTACCGCGGGCGCGCACGCTTCCGGGTTGCCGTCGGCTCCTCGCGCTGCGGCGGGCGG